TGTTCTTCTTTTGCAAAACTCGTTTAGAATGTCGCGAGAGATTTCATTAATTTTTCTGTCGTTATTTATGAGAGAATCGCGTATTAAGTAATTCTTTTCTTTTCTTTTTTTTGATTATTATCATTGCCCGCACGATCGCGCGATTTATTCGCGAAATAACCCGTATTTCTTCTTCTCATTTAAAAGTCAACGAAAAGCGTGACTTTAAGCCACCCCATTTAGCGGGCAATCGCTCGTTCGCACAATTTTCCCGGGAAGCTTTTATTACAGTTGGGTCATTAGTCTTTCTCTGATTGTTGCAGGACTGGCAGCATGGCGGCCGAAGAAGGAATATTGGGCAGCGGTCTGGGCTCGAAACTGAAATGTCCGACCCCTATATCGCGGTTGAGGGTGGAGAAGATCGAGGGCGGCCTGATGGTGGCCGGCGTAGTGATAGCCGCGAACTGTCAGATCGCTCTTCCGGCGTTTGGATTTCTCTTTATGCTGGTTGGCGCAGTGCTCACTGGTTCGTACCTTACCCCTTTTTACGATCTCTTTTAGGATAACTTACACGTAGAAGCGGGAAAATTTTGCACATTTAAGATTTCCATCGTGATACATATATTATTTTTTTATTTTTATTCACATATTAAATAGCTGTTTCTCGTTATCACATAAGATTATTCGGAAAAATTATGCTGAAAAGAACGTAGACAAATGCACTCATAAACTTGATTCATTATGAAGCTATTGTATGCCACCCAGTATACTCATCTTCAAATCCACCACTTAAACATTACACTTCAAAAGTACACTTCGCGTATAAAAGCGATGTCTCCGAGACGCTATTATATTTCTTCATAAAACGCCGCATGACGGCTCCGTAAGTACATACGTAACAGACCCCGTTAAATATTTCTCTCGCTCGTTTCATGGCGCGCATTCGACGTCAAACGCGTTTCTCGTCTCACGTTTTGCAGACACACATACGTTCTTCCTATTAAATAAATAAAACTTAGCGCCGAACGAACCGACGCATCCGCTCGCGTAAAAAATGCAATGGAAACGTTACGGGCTCGTCGGAGAATGTGCTCTCGAAATACGATGAATACGGCTTGTTTTTCTCTCGCGAGCGTTTTCCTGTTTTGTGCGCGCGCGGCTTCCCGTCGCAGGGGACTTTAATCGCGTGGCGCATAATTTTTATAATTAGACGCGCGCTCGTATAAATTGTCACGTTACGGGAACGCAGTCACGTAGGATGGTCACGTCAGTTGGGCGGACTGGTCTCGTGCATATTCACGGGTCCTGCCCTAATATCCTTTTTTTCTCTCCGCATGCGTTATCTCGTTATGCGTCGTTTGCATTCGCATTTGCATCTCGCGATCGGACCCGCGAAATTCGTGCGGAGATGGATCGGAGAGTGGCTTCAACTTTGTTGAACGAGGATTATCAGCAAGGTGCGCTCACCTTCTCTCGAGAAAATCATCGCGAATCTTGGATTCTGGAGAATGCTGCACAACGTATCGAAGTTTTCTCTTGACGTCGTCGATAATTCGTGAAAATCTCGACCGCCCGTTCATTCATTCACTCGACGAGAGTGTTCGTATTCGCATACAAGTGGAGTAACTGTGTTAGTTCGCAGATCGGTGCAATTTTGAAGCTTTCCATTTCAGAGAAAGCATACGCTCGATAATCATATGTGGGCCGTTTAGAAAGGGGAATCGATATTTATATCGAGACGAGGGAGACCTGGTAATGATTCATTAGCGCTCAACGAGAAAGTGCACCTCTTCCGTTCTGTCTCGTCGCGATTAATCGTTCTTGCCTATTATTATTATTATTATTCAATTCAACCAGATGTTACGTTTTGGTTGAGGCGACATGAGTAGTTCTCAATTCACAGTGACAGTATAATGATGACATGCGCGATATTTTACTCGGTTATTTGCAATATTCCTCGAAATGAAACGCGACTTGTATCGAACACGAATTGTCAATAGCCGACGTAACGAACGGATAACTCTCAACCCAGCATTCCTCGCGCACTAATCAGACTGAAGCCTCCGCTGACATCCTATAAGCGGATTAATTACACAGGAAAGGAAGCCGTATTCGTCGAACCGAAGCGCAGTGGCATTAGAGTTGCGCGAAAATTCCGCACACGCGAAAGCGTCATCGCGTTCGAACCGCAAATTATGTTGATTATCTTGTTGTTGATAATCAATTACGTTGCGGCTGAATACAGCTTGTTCCACTTCCATTATGGTCGAGTATTGATATCAGTTCTGTTTTTGTGAAGAGGCCTCACAAAATCTTTTGCGGAATCTCTCATCTGAATGCAAACGAATCAATATTAATTATGTATCATATTACTTTTATGTTAGTTTACGTTATTATTAAAATTACCGCCAATTATATTTATTATTATCACTTTACGCTACGTTATTTAATAATTTTGCAAACTTGTTTATTATATGTGCAGAGAGAATATTAGAGTATTTTCTTCTTCACGTAATTATATCCTTTCCAATTTTATCATGTTTCTGCACACAGAGGAAAAAATATTTGGAAAATAAAAAATATTTATTCGGTGGGTGTGCTAATAATATATTTATTTAAATCTAAATTCTCTTATATATATTTAAATAAGATAAACACTTGTTTTCATGAAAAATTAAGATTTTAGTAAAATGCGTACTTTCTTATTTGGAAAATATTTTTCTTAATGCAAAAATATTTTTTTATTTAGTGTAAACGTTTTTATTTCTTAGATTTTTTTTCTCTTACCATCATTTTAATTTGCTATTTGATTTTAAAATGCTAGTATGACGATATAGTAGCTAGATTATATATTTATAGAATAGATAGAACGTCACCTATTCTACTTGATATGTAATGGCTAGAGAACGGCTAAATCATAAACCCAATTCTATATTTTAGTGAATAGTCGGCCAAAACGAGTTAGCAACGAGCTGGGAAATTTTATCTAGTCTGTACTAGCTATGAGATAAAAGAATAGTCAATTGCAGCAGAATATTGATTTATTTCTCGGCTACGAAATTCTCTAGTGATTTTTTCCATAAAATTCTCGTGCACGTTAGATCATTCAGTCCCCTCCACCATAATATCCGATAATAATACAGACTCCTCCGAGGCGCGGATTTATATATCCGCGCAAGGGACCTCCGGAGACCTCTCCTCCGAAGGCGCGAGCGACCGCGCATGCGAGGCCACTTCCCGCCTTTCCCGTTGAATTAATTTGAGAGCCGCTATGGAGTTCGTTTGTCGTGGGCATTGACCCCGCGGAGATAGCACCATAGATACAGCTTTCGTATCTGCGAGGCAGGAGGACAGACGGAGGCGAGCGAGAGCGAGAGAGAGAGAGAGAGAGAGAGGAGAGAGAGAGAGAGAGAGCAGAAGGAAGAAAAAGGAGAAGGCGCGCGGGTTGTTCGCCGAGAGCAACAGCTGGCCCTTCGCAACGCCGTCACTTCACGTCGGGCCACGCTTCTTCATGCGGGGTGCCGGGTGTTGTTACCAACCGATTTATCAAAAAACCGGTCGCTCGATCGGTTCCCTTCCTCCCTTTCTGCTCCCTCTCCTCCGCTGCTTCCCGTCACGCTTTTCTGCCGTCTGCCGCGCCAAGACCGGTTCCTGTAGCCCATTTCCCTTTCGTTGTTTCTAATCCCGCTCCCTCGTCCCTCCCTTCCTCCGAGATACTCCAGATATTCGCCCCGGTCTCTTCGTCGCTCACTTGAGTCGCGTTAATGTCTTTGTTACGGCCGCTTATCGCATCCAAGGATGATCCCCGCTGTTTACGAAGTCGACGCCGAATGACGGAGAGTTTCGTGGTTGATTGCACGGACTGTGAACGGATCGAAGTCACGCGGAGCTGTTGGTCACGTGGAAATCTCGCGGGAATCGACATGTTGGTTCGTGTTCACGTTACCTTGAAATTCATCATTTTTCTTTTTTTGGAGAGGGGACATATTTCATGCTGTTTACGCGGCTCATCGATGCTGTTCACGGCAGAGAGAGGAGAGAGACTGCGAGAGGAGGCTCGCCGAATCTGCGCATGCCGACATTACGGAGCGTTTCGCCGGCGTTATCGATTAAAATATGCTCGAAGGCGAACTCCGCCGCGGAGGCCCGAGTGTATTTACGTGCCGTAATTTCCGCGACTCGTTTACGGAGCCGCGTTTTCTCTTTAACTATACCGCGAGGCTGCGACTTTCCCCCGTCTCGTTAGTTCCCGGGAAGATAAGCGAGAGAATGAGAAAGAGAGAGAGAAGGAAAAAGAGGAAAAATAAATGTCGTTACACGTCCTACGCACCGGCATTTTCTCCCTTCGAGAGAGAACGTAAAATTTTCCATCGCGAAAGTTTCGTCGTGTTAGCACTACGTCAGCATTACAGTCGGAGTTGATACCTCGAAACCTGCTCGAAGCCTGTCGAAGCAATGCGATTACAAAGTCTCTCGCCGAGTGCGGGGCGATTTTGTGCTATTGCGCGGAACACGCGTGAATGGAGCGTAAAGCTTTTCTCACCACGAGCTTCACGGAGCTTGACTTCCGTAAAAATCGAGTCCGAGACGCGTCCCAACGATGTGGGACTGTCGCTCAGTGACTCTCGTGAATTTACATGAGAACAGAGTGTTGTTTTGCGATATTCAGCAATAACAACAAATCATTTGGTTGACGAATTATTTGCTTCCAACTGAACGCGACAAAGTGAAAATTGACTGAGGAAGATCGGGGCAAACTTTCTGATCAAGGAGCGCGCGCGATCCTTGACACGCAAACGGTTAAAAAGATGCGGAGAATAACGGGTGATGGTGGTCGTCGATTTCCCCCTGTTAACGACTGACCCGCTCGTTTCTCTCTGTTACAGCTGCTTCGTACCGAGGCCCGGGCGAGGACGAGGACAAGAACTCGTATGCTGCGCGAATCGCCTTTACCGGCAACTCCCGTATTCTAGGGCCGATCTGCATAGTCGTGGGCGCCCTTATGCTCGCCCTTGGCGTGCTGCTCTGCATGTTAACGAGAAGGGCCAGGCGGAGAGAGCGTAGGGTGGGCTTCCACTGCCCGCTTCACGGAGACTTCTACCCTCTGAGTCCGGTCCAAGGTATCAAAATGCTCGGTGAGTTCATCTATATAGACGAGAAAGGCTCTCTTCAGTCTCTTGCGAATAAATATTTACATTGTCTGTGTGTGCCGAAACGCCTGGGAGCGGCAGTCGTGTTCTGTAACACAAAGTGGAAGGTCAAGACGCGCGTACATTGAAGAAAAGAATTCGGACAGAAGTCTTTCAGCATTGCGCAAATTTACACACGTAAATTGCGATCGAGCCAAACTGAGGAAAAATCGAGTCAGATTGGCGATTTGCACTGAGAGCCAAATGTTTGGTATTTTTCTGACTATTACACGGAGAAATAATTACTATAAATTGTGGTTAAGGAAACTATTTTTTTTCATATATATATATTACCGTTTTTTTTTTTACCGTTAGAATAATCAAAACATATATTTGAGACTAAAAATAGTTATAATTTTAACCAGTTCGACCTTTTTTTTTTCACTGTGACGTGGGAATTTAATTCCACAAAAATTTAATCCAATAATATCAGGTTAGCTTTTAACTGAATAAAATGTTGAGTTTTCTTTTTTACACAAACAGGCAATTTAAACAAAAGAAAAAAAAAGAGTTAAATTTTGCTAAAAGAATTGGGACGGTTGTTTTCGTCACATACAACTCCGAAATTGAATTCGTTTAACTCGATTTGCTTCAACTCATGCCTTTTTCTTTATATGGTGTAACGTGCAGAAATACCACGTAATATCGCTAAGAAAAGAATGTTTGATATTTATATATATAGAGGAATAAGAGAAATAATTATTATAACTTATGGCCGAGAAAATTACTTTTTTATTAAGTTCTACCATAAAATTAGCGATAATAACCTTCTATGCATATCACTCTACTATCATTTTCGTGCTGAAACTAAAGTATGCTGGCCAAAAATCAGTAGTGTAGGAAAGTTGGAAAGTTGAAAACCAGGATAAGCTAACAAAATCGATTATTCCTGCTATTTTCTAACAAATTACAGAATTAAGCAAGCAAGATTTTTAAACATGTTATTAAAGGTGGCTGTTTGAAACTCCTTGATTCTGAGATCTGTTAAAGAATCAAGCAGAAATAATCAATTTTGTCAACTTATCTCGGTAACCAACTAGTCCCGGGCTCTCCTATCGGAAAGTGTATCATGTTAAAAAATAACTACAATTTCAGTTAGCTCTGTCACTCTTTTTTTCGCTCAACGCGGAGTACTTTACGCGCGCGGGAGATTCGGAATTATATATTCCGATAAAGATTCGATTACATTTCGGTGGCGTGAAATATTTCAATATGTTCCCCGAACGATATCGGTATCGTTCGTAACGCGATCTCGTCGTATCGTATTCCTGGCGCGTACGCGAAATGCATCCGGCGATTTTTAGGAGTATTACTCCTCAGTCTCCCGGTAAAACGATGCGCGGTCGAATCGGCGGCCCGACCGAGATTCACGGGTACTTTTATCGGGCTCGATCCCATCTCGCTCCAGTCGTCACGCGTTCGCGAGCAAAGTATGTAGGCTACGTACTCGGTAGTAGCGGCAAACGCTATCGCGTGAGCATCGCCACTCTCGTCTCGCGTTTTTATTTCTCTTTTCTTTTTTTTTTTCTAGGACTCACGATCGTAATATCTCGCGATCCGTACGGCGTGCATGCAATTATCCCTTCGTGCGCGCACGACGACGCGCCCGGCAATTCCGTTGATACCTTTTCAAAGAGCCGGAGACTGAAGCCGCTAAAACGCTTCCCGAGAAAATTATCTGGGCGAGGGACGTCGTCCACGCAGCATCCCGTCGTAACGGCTATTATCGTCGTGTCACGCGATGCCTTTGCGATGTTTCGTCCAAATTACGGCTAATTGGTGGAATTACGCGTCGCTAAGCCGAATCGCCTAAATTGCGATAACCAGCGTCGAAGCGACTGGTCGATCCCGCCTTTTGTTCCGCTCTCGCGCTCGAATCACTCTTCCTGAGGTAGGAAGTTTTCCAATCTCATCTTCTATTAAACATATCCTAAATATATATCTATAAAATACTACATATTTTTAATGTATTTAACCTTCTAACCGTGTTCGTTTCGGGCATACTTTGACCATTCAGGGTCTAAATAGACCCAATGGTGAGAAACCATACTTAATTAACTTTACTATTTAATTGACATATATATATTTTATATCTTTTATTTTAGCATTATATAGCATTATATAATAATTTAGTACAATATGTATTGACTTTTTCTAAAATAATTCCAAAAGTCGCGAAGTATCACATTTGTATTTAGAATATCACAAAATCTGTGTAAACTTTGAAACTGCTGTGGGTCAAAAAAACCCAGAGCACGGTTAGAAGGTGAAAGGAATGCTGAAACTGAAAATTTTCCCGACATAATACCGACATTTTCTGTAAATTTTACGTAAAGAAAGTTTGCAGAAAGATTTCTACACATGTGCGTGGTTAGGTTTTCCGCAGAATGTAGTAAAAACAAAGCAACATACATTTACGTAAATTCTGTATGTACAAGAAATACGAAAAGACTAGTGAGATTATGTTAGTGACGATTGTCTCTCTGTTATCGACATCGTTCGAGTTCGTGTAGAATACATATGAATTATATCTAATACCTTATTCCGAATGCACACAAGACACACGTGACTGTTTGATTCCAAGTTGTGTTTTTTCTCACATGAACGTCACGTACGGAACGTCGTTTCCGCTTGACAAGCGGAAAGGCATATTTAACATTCGACATACGTCCAGGGTCGAAAAAAATACGAGTCGCAATTCTTCCGGGGTAACGTCGAGCAAGCGACGTGTCAATTACACTAACTGCACCGATATCGCCAATAAACGACCCTAACCGCGATCGCGAGAACGAGTTTACAAGTCACCCTGGCGACCTTTACGACTTCGCCGCGCGAGATCGTCTTAGGAAAGCCATTCGGCGATGGGTTACACTTGACGATCGCGAGCGTGCCAGTTCGTATCAATTGCTTCGAATTCGGGACGAGGCTGGATCAGGGGCGAATAGTGGTAGTGGTAAGGTAGCTAACTGGATTGTCGGAATTCAGGCTAATGCGACTCTATCAGATTATTGCGTGGGTTGAATGTGCGCGCGCGTTGCGAATTCTACGAGTTTCCGCGTTCTCCCGAGCCGTCGCGGAATCGCGAGATCGCTCGAATATCGCGCGAATCTCCTTCGACATTGTCTCGCGTTAATCGTCGCTCTTCGCTCGCCGTCGGTGTGTACATTGACTCTCGCAGGGGATCGCGGGAGAGGAGGAGCAGGAGGAATTGGTCGCCGAGTACTGAGAGTATTTATTTTCTCGTCTGAGGCTCTTCACACTCGTCGCACGAACGGCACGTGAGATGAAAAATGCACGCGTGAAGTATCGAGGTGGCTCGTTCGGAAGCGCGGACAATTTTCGGCGATTAAATATTGAGCGGCTGCGGAATCGGTTATTTCCCCCGATCGATGCAGCCTGCGGGAGAGGGACTTAAATTTTTCAAGTAACGCTCGCGGCATCAAAGTTTCAGGCCGCTCGAGAAATTCACGGTTCGCGCTCACGTATATATCTCAGACGGAGACACGAATATCCCGGAGAGAATCGTCGCCCTGGCGACCGCGTGTGACAGTTTCTGCCGTAACCAGCGAGCGTCGCGGGTATAATAAAAATAGCGAGCCGGTCATTTTTCGCGCTCCGAAATATTCTCTAACTTGAATTTACGCTCCCAATTTTCCTTTTTTTTTTTATTTTTTTACGTTTTTCGACAAAACTTTTTTTCCGCCTGTCGGAACGGCTCGATAGAATACGACGATTTTAAGTGGGATTATACAATGTCCGACATTTCGATACTTTAGACCTTGTCTTTCTCGTCAATTCTTGATGAGGAAGGTAAAGGAACTCTTAAACGCGAATATGAATAACGTGTCGGAAAGGGTCTCATTGAGTTTTGATAAGGTAACCAGATTTCCCGGAAGAGCAAGAAGGGAGAGGAGAAATCATTGAAAATTATTTATATAAAAATATAAATAGACATATGTGAAAAGAAATTTAACAACAATGGAGACCTGCATAAAGTAAAAATAAAAACTGTTGTTATCTCTACTTAAAATTAAGAAGAAAAAGCAGAACTACTGCATCTGTCAGAGCTATGCATTTTTTTGAGAGAGAGTTCTTTTTTTGTTGAAAAGAATTTCTCTAAAACGGGATAAACCGAGTCACAAATCGGCGGTCCAGACAGCATTCGAAAAAAGCCGGGGCACAGGATGGAAAATTAGATCTGTCTCAGCAAAGATACACTGAGGGAAAATTTACCTTAAAATCAACAAATATTTTTTTTATAAGTGCCATTAATATATTTATTTAAATCTAAATTCTCTTTATTTATTTAAATCTATCATATTTATTTAAATTTAAATTCTCTTTATTTAAACCAAATATTGTTTACTTAAATCAGACAAACAATATTTGATTTAAATAAAGAAAATTTAGATCTAAGTAAATATGTTAATGGCACCCATCAAAGAAATATTTGTTGATTTTAAGATAATTTTCTTCTCAATGTGGGACATCTGGTCGCTTCAGCTTCGACACACACGCGAGATATCGCGCTTCTTGTTAGAGTCGCCGTGGTGATCTCAATTGTGCCGTTCGTCGTGCGAGAACAATTTTGTTCTTTGCGCGAGCCGCTCGGGTAATATCGAGCGATACGAATGCGAAGTGCGTTCCCGCTTTATGACAAAACGACGAAATTGCGCCCGACTCCACGAAGCGTGGATAAATACCGCCCGTCTCGCGGAAGCGGCACCGCAAGAAAACACGCGCTGGGGTCTTACCTGGTCGTAGACAATCGTAGCGACATGGAAAGCGTGACCGGCGAGACTAACTGTGAGAAAACACGAGGAAACGAAAGAAGAAGTGCGAACGTTCTCGGATACTTGAGGATACTTGGGTACTTGACGACGGATACGTGTAGGGCCAGGACGAATAAATTCTATGAGAGACCCAGGTGCATTCTGGGAAATATC